GTGGCTCGTTGGGAGACCTCCTACGACGCACACACTGCCATCAAACTTCCACGAGTTCATGGGAAGGGGCGAGGGTTTGTGAGTGGGCCGTTCACTGTTAGGGGGGACACAGGCCAGGTTTACTAGGGTCAACCGTTGATCAGCGGGTCACACGCAGGCTAACTTTGCTGGGTGATAATGTTGAATTATCCATGTTGAATCCCCACCCTGCTGTGTGATGAATCCACAATGTTTGGAAGCATTAAATTAGCCCTCTACGGAGAGAGGAGTGGATCCTCTGGCTTGTGTCCAGTCAGCTCGGGCGGGGGGGGGTCACAGCTGATTTACCGGCTCTCCTGCGTAATAGCTGGCAGGAAGGCAGGAGGCCGAATTTGTTGTCGCCTCCTCCCGGTGCCCCCTTCTCCCCGGCTCGGGAAGATGTCGCTGCGGGACGGGCGTGATGAACGGTGGTGAACGGAAGAAAAGTGATCGGGGTGCTAAGCAATCTGCGGTGAACCTGCCAGCCCCCATTGGCACACCTTAACTCAGCTGGCAGTGAAAATAATGGCGCGTTCTGACAATGCCACTGCCCCCGCTGACACAAAGGGGAGCCCCCGTCCCCTGCCTCTGGCAATGAAGAATGAATAGTTAGCTCATTGTCCACCCATCGTCTGTCTCCCTCTGCACACTCTCTGCTACTCTCTTCACCTAATTGAGATTTAATCACTGAATTCTAAATGCACTCAATGGATTATTATATCGGTGGAATGACAGTTTAGTGTGAATCATTGCATGGGATTGGGGGGAGGGAGGGAGGAACATAAATCCCCCTGGAGTCCGGAGAAGTTGTCCATTGGCTGGCACCCTGTTATCCTACAGATTTCTGCAACTTGTTCACACTTATAAAAAATAACATTTTAACACAATTTGATCCTAATAAGTCAACCCTAACACTAACAGAGACGTAACTCTAACCCAAAGTCATCCCAATTTAAAGGCTTAACTTTATAAGGCATTGAATTAATCAATTTAAATGTAAGGACTCAGTTGGTTTAATGTCCCAAAATATTATTTCTAAAGTCTTACAATGCCAGGGCAAGGCAAGAAGAATTTGATTCATTTTTTAAATTATATTGGAATTTAGCGTAGGGATTATTTTCTAATTATGGGTAACATCTATTTTTAGAATAATTTGCAAATCTCTCTAGGATAAGCGTTATGCAGATCATGATAGCAGAACCAACAGCACTTGTATTTCGTTTACAGCCGGGATGTTCCACTCTAGTTTTTCTAGGGAGCCCTAGTCATAATGAAAATAAATATATATTCTACCAAGAAAACGTCACTAAATCCAGCAGAATTTCAAATGTTCGTTATGGTTTAAAGGTCTCTATTGTCCCATTGAGCATACACTTAAATATAATATTATTGAAATATACAAAATCCAATTTTACAAAATGAAATGCTACTGTCTACTAATTATATCCTACTAAAAAGTGTTGCCTGTGTATTTAAATCTTGATATATGATGTTATTCCTCTCTACGGTAGAGCTCCATTGTTGTGCAAGAACTATTTCAATCACCTCAATGAGTCACAGTGTTGAACCCTGAATGCACATGCTGCACTATATTTTGACTCAATACCCCATTCACCGTCCTGCTGCTGAAGAACTCACTACATGACCAAAAGTGTATAAATCCACATCTGAAAATAGTTCCCAACGAATGCACTATGTACTCCTGTTTGAGTAGAGCTTGCAGAAAATATAGTGCCCGACTGTTTAGCTAAGTTAGCAGGCCTTTAAATAACACGTTACACCTTTTTGTAAAGGTATATATTATGTATCAACCAATGGGCTTGGAGTTGACACATTTAGTTTGTTCAGTGTAATTTAAAATGATTGTTCTTAGGCTCTTCCCATCAGTCTGTTGGAGACGTTGACATATAAAACAGGCTTGCATTGTCAGCCCTGCCGTGGTACAGTGGTTCACCTCCATCTGTTGGCAGGACCTGAAACAGAAGGCGTGTGTGTGTGTGTGTGTGTGTGTGTGTGTGTGTGTGTGTGTGTGTGTGTGTGTGTGTGTGTGTGTGTGTGTGTGTGTGTGTGTGTGTGTGTGTGTGTGTGTGTGTGTGTGTGTGTGTGTGTGTGTGTGTGGTGTGTGTGTGTGTGTGTGTGTGTGTGTGTGTGTGTGTGTGTGTGTGTGTGTGGTGTGTGTGTGTGTGTGTGTGTGTGTGTGTGTGTGTGTGTGTGTGTGTGTGTGTGTGTGTGTGTGTGTGTGTGTGTGTGTGTGTGTGTGTGTGTGTGTGTGTGTGTGTGTGTGTGTGTGTGTGTTTGGTCTTTGAAGTGGGACAGATTGCTTTAACCTCTCTTCTAAGGAGAGCAGCTGGAATAGAGAGCTCCTTTAAACAGCCGCTTCCTCCTTCGACAGTCATGAGATTATCCTCCATTGATGCACAAAGGCAGCGCCTTCCTCTGCAACCTCTCATCCCGGCCCCCCGGGCCCCTGCCCCTTTGCAAACACTCAGCGTTGACCTCTGACCCATAATGCAGGGATGTGATGCCAAGTCACTTTGCTGGATCATCTAAAGAGTGCAGAGTGAAGACATCCTTACTGTCCTCTGGACTACAGCTGCTGTACCTGACAGCTGTCTGTTTATGTTCCCTTCCTTTGACCGCTCCCTCCCTTTACTAATTGTCATGGATTAAATAAGAAGCCAATTGCAGCCAAATGAATTAAGATAATATCATTTAGCGTGGTCAGTGAGAGCATGTCTTTGTGCTTTGAAGGGACAGTTGTGTGCAGATGAGCACCTGGACTCTGCTGGCAGCATCACTGCATGTAGGTCTAAGTGACAGCATGGAACTCTCATTTTCCCCGTCTTGGTGTTTGGTGGGCTGATCTTATGACAGAGGCAGTGGGATGAGTGGGGCTGTATGTGTTGGATGAGTGGGGCTGTGTGTGTTGGATGAGTGGGGCTGTGTGTGTTGGATGAGAGGGGATGTTTCTCACAAAGGACGACAGTAAGGGAGGCTTGATCAATCGGGTGCAATCAGCCACCAGCCCCTGCACCGACACACTGATCGCTCGGTCAATGAGCTGATGAATGGATCAATCAGACACATGTCAGCGTCCAACGCCACGCCACAGGACACCCAGGGCTCCGGCCGCACCAGTGGGCATCTAAATGAAAGGAAGCGTTCAGTTAGACACTGAGTGCATGTAGAACACTTTCAAAGTTCTGAAGTTTAAATTCTTTAATTCATCCTGTAATCCTGAATGTAATTGTTCTTGGAGGAGACACGTCCTCACAAGAAAAGGCAGCATTAGGTTATTGTGTTTTCTTCTAATTGAGTCTCGCTTATGGTGACACTTTTGGCACAGTTATTACTGAGAATAATGTATTCTCTCTCTTCTCTGTGTAAAACATTTACTCTCTTCTATCTGTTTGTATCCAGGTACTTGTCTAAACGTAGGGGACATATTAAGGTTTAGTGATGACTGTGTTTTTGATCCAATGGAGGGCTATTTTTAACCTCCTGATATCCATGCTTATTGTGCCAGGATGCAGTGTGTGCTTCTGGCCTCACTTTAAGCTGTCCAGGGATTTCTGCCTGACTGACTTCTAGATTTGAAAAGCAGATCACAGAAGGGGGCTTGCTTGGAAGAATTAGTAGAATCTGAAGTCAATTTGAAACTCACAGCTGTCACTACACTTTCTAGAAAACGTGTACTTTGTGTCATCTATATATAGAGCTGCAGAGTAAAATAAATGAATTGCCTTTTTTGATAGTATATGTACTGGTTTGATTAGTTTTCAAGACAAACAAGCCAAATTCAAGTATTGTTTTTTTTACTGGTTTCTTCCCTTCTCTTCGACAGTAAACTAGATCTTTAAGTTGTAGAAAAGAAACAAGACATTTGAAGAAGTCACTGAGTTTCTGGAAACATTTTCCATTGAGATTTTATGGACCAAATAACCAATCAATTAGCCAAGAAAAGAATTGAAAGTTTATTTAACAATAAAAATACCTTTCTTGCATCTGAAAGAAATAGTTTGAAAAATATATATAGTAATCAGAAAGTACAACCCGTGACCACAGTTGGTGCAGTCTGATCAGAGATGGCAGAAAGCGACTCTCTGTGGTTGTCTTCGCTACAATGACTTTTTGACAGGGAAAGTATCTCTTGCCCTTCTCCCTAGCTCCTTCTTTGGCCTATTCATTGCACAAAGCTGCTTAAGCGCACTTAAGCGCATTAGCATTTGGCTGCCAGGGGACCATATTGACCCTGCATTTGGATGGCCTAAATGAGTGAAAGATGGAGCGATTTGTTAGGGCTTTAGAAAGTTGCTTTTGGGGAGGGGAGGGGTGGGGGGGGAGCTGGAAGGAATGGGGTTGAGGCAGTGGTGGGGGGGGGTCTGCAGAGAGTTGTTCCACTTTCTCTCAAGGCATGGTGTTTGTTCTGATCTGCTGTGCCGTTTCTTGGTGGCCGAAGCAGGACTGATTTGTGACATTTCAGTCTAAAGGGCCTTTTTCTGCTCCCTATATTGGCTTGACCCGATTATCTAATCTGTGCTTTGAATTTCAATCAGGTCGCCCAGTCCCTGCCGCGCGGTATGGGAACCACTGGCTGAGGGATTACCTCATTCAACTGTCTTCAAACACAGATGGTCGAATGTTTAACTAATTGTTAAAAGAGTCCACAAAGGGGAATTTAACCATGCACACAGTCCATGGGGTCAGTACATAGAGCCAGATAAAGAGAGGGGACAGTGAGGTGGTGGTTTGTGGGACGCTTCTTTAAAAAATCATTCAGATGTGCAGTGTAGTGCATGGAGCTGGACACAATGGCTGCTCTCAGAACATTACTGTACAAAGTGTGTGTGGGGTTGGACACACTTTCAATATGTAGGAATATCTGTAATTGAATTAATGTTTTATTTTTCCTTATGAACACACAACCCAACATGATTTGTCTTGTGTCTTTGATCACTCATTGTTTCCATCCCCCCCTCCAGAGTCTTTGCTCCACTGCCACCCTGCAGACAGTCCGAGCCGCCGACACCAACGAGGTGGACAAGCTAATATTCAGAGAGAGTGACAATGACCGGAAGGTAAGCTGTACTGCATTAATGCTGCCTGTCACAAAATGCAAAATCAGAACAGCTTTTTGTCAAATTTGTATAGAAACAAATGTGTCTTCAGGGCCAGTCACACCACAACAAAATAACCTGCATAATAAAAGCAGCTCTGATGAGTGTTATAGGGAAAAATGTATTCCTTTTTCATTTGGAAATCAAATCAGAGTAGATGTTAAAACAACAAACATGTGTAGCTACACTGAATATGTATTGCTTCAATGGCCTTAATTTACATTCACATACAATATGCATAATTTTCTTTTTAAGCGAGCAGGAAACATGCTAGCTATAGTCACTCACATCAGCCCCAAGAACTCTTCTTTGTACTTTGATTTATCATCAATTCATTCAAAAAAGTCTTATTACAGAGTTAGCTAACCTGTGTGTGTCAGCTAGCTTGTTCACTCAATCGCTAACTGGACAGTAAGTTCACACAGTATATAAAAGAGAGATATTTGCACCATTGACACCTATCTCATTTCTACCGAAGAGGATTAGGGCCATATGTGAATTTACTTTTTTGGGATCTGACCAAAAGGGATTTGATTTTGAGTTGTGTTGTCTGACTTTTTTCTCAGAATCCTAACTTTAATCTCAGAACAAAAAAATATATATGTTGGGTCAGGTCTCAAAGAAAACATGTGGTCCTAATCCTCTTCCAAACATTACTGTCTTAAAAGAAAGTATATTTTATTTTGAGTAGTTTATTCCAAAAGTGGACACAGTTAACAAGATTTCAATTGATGTCATTTCCCCCCTGCGTGCCAATTTAAATTAATTGACTAGGGTGTAAAATATCTGGTGTGAGCAGGCCTTAATAGGAACATTATTATAATGCATGTTCAAAAAGGAATATTGCACTTGTGATTAAAGCTTCAAATTCTAATCATTTTCCAGTTCTATACATGTCATACAGCTCAACCTGAGTTATTATAAGTTGTGTTAACATTCAGAGTATAGTGGTGCCTCAGAGAGACGCGTGTAGAATGCACAGTGCTGTCTGCTGTTCATTAGTGCTCTAATTACCAAGTGCAGTTGACATTAGTATTGTTATTAATCAGAGCTTCTCTCCTGCCTCTGATCCAGGTTGTTCTTCAACTTGAGAAGAAGCTTTTTAATTATGTCAACCAGGACGTTTTCCGGGAAAACAATGGGAGCCCGGTAAGTCAGCTCTTTGCTTTCCAGCTCTTTATATATCCATCTGCTCTCTTATTTCTACACTTCCAATGTTTATCACAAATTAAATTCACTCCATCAACTGTATAGTGATTGTTTTTTCACCTCCTAGTAGCTACGCCTGCCATTAACTATATTTTAAATTGATTATCTGCAAAAGGGACTAGAGCTTTGATTCTGTGGTGAAACCCAATTGGGGGCGACCCGTGCTGTAATTTCTCAAAATTCCCCCGGGCTTGAACCAAATCGTGTTTGTGCATTATCCGTGCTATAATCAATAACCTACTGAATCATTTGAATATCTACATTTCTCTGTTGTGTTAATGATTGTTTGCTGCTGTTCGAAAGTCATGTCACTTAAAGCAGTTTCCTAACATACTACCTAAAACTACCTATTAATGAGGAGAAATCTCTATTTAACAGTACATGGCGAAGGTATATGTGAGTTCTTAGGCTGTGCTGAACATGCAGGAGGTGAAGGTGGATGACAGAGATTGTTTTAAAAATGTCTGTTACTGCACTGACAAGACTTGATTTAGATTTTGTAACAATGCAAATGTAGGTTTTTAATTGAGAATTGGACATTGTGCAAGCCGGGTTCATGTAGGGTTGATTTTAAGGCCCTACCAAACCTCTTAACCAAAGTTACACAACTTAATTTTAGGACATTTCCTGTTAAGATAATATGAATAATAAAATAAGCCCTCCTAAGAAGTTGTTGTGGCAGCTGCTGACCTCAGTCATGACTTTGCTTTAGTTGAAGCCCTCACATCACTTCACACACTCCCTTTGTCCCCACTGTGGGGCCTAATGTCTCTGGAATAACTGTTAAATGAGACTGAGAGCCACTATTTCAAGCATACTAAGTCATGGAGTGCCGCCGAAGTACTGTTCCAATGTTCAGCATACTTGGAATTCTACCGAGCCCGGCGTACTTCGTTTGGAGACATTTCGAGGCTGCACATGTGTAGACTCCGCGGTCTTAAAATCCCCACAATGCTTTGCGCACGGACCAATTTCCCCAAATCTGTGGCGGAAAATGTAAGGCGGGGCCTCTCATATGACGCACACCTGCACACTTGAGCCTGTTCCAATCTTCGTTTTCTGAATGCCAGGAAGTATTCTTGCCTCGCTTCTGAAGCAAGTGACTCGGAAGACATGTGCTGCCAAGCAAGCATACTTAGAAACACCCTGTGTGTAGATGAGGTGAGTGTTAAATGTCTACAGAAGAAAAATTCCAGCACACACTTCCACTTTTATACGGCTGTTTATTACATTAAGTAGTTCAAAGTTGCACCTTGTTAAAAAACCCATGAAGGACACACACACATCAGCAGCATGGAGTGTGAAGCCACTCGTCTGGAAGCCTAGTGTAGAGTGTATTAATATTATTGGCCACATACCATAACAACATAGTAAAAGTAACAATGATAAACTTTAATTTGAGTTGTATTGCGATGTTACCGTTTCATTTGAATTCCAATGAACATGTCTATTGGAGCAGCATCACTAATACACTTTATTTATAACACCTTTTAAACAGAGTTACATTCATCCGCTCCTGAAGTTTGTTAAATGGTTGTGTAAGAACAGTGGTGGACTGTTACTAACTGTAATATACTCATCCCTGTACTTAACTATTTTATATACTTTACTTGAGTATTTCCAATTACCTACATATACTCTGTGAAGCTGACCGTTGAGCGGCCCGACCAAGCAAGGAGGCAGAGGCAGAGAATTCAAATATAACCCGGTGTGGGCATTTATTCATCGCTGTGGTACAGGATACACAGCCTCAATATTGCTGCCCAGGTGAACACAGTCACCAGCCACAAGGATCTCACCCACACTACCAGCCTCCACAGACAGGGAAAACAGAGCCTAAATACCTACACACTAATCAGCACAACAAGACACAGGTGAGGGGGGGGGGAGGAGACAACACAGGGCACCAGGTGAACACAATCAGGAGTAACAGACATGGGGAAAGGGAACACTTTTCAAAATAAAACACATGTGCAATATACAAAGCCCGAAGCCGTCAGTCCACAGTGACGAAGCCATCTTCGTCACATACTCTTATTCCACTACATTTTAGAGGCAATTAATGTCCTTTTACTCCACTACATTTATTTAACACTTATAGTTACTTTGTTCATCTGAAAACACAATATGCTGATACAGTATGATGCGATCATTCAACCCTCAACTATTTTAGTATCACACATTGGATCCATATTAAAAAAATGACTATACAACCCACTCGTAGACTAGCTCACTGTGTGTTTCTATCTGTAAAGAAACACTAATTGATTGACAGATGGGTCAAAAAGCCCACTGCACTGCTTTATGCTTGTGCCACTGCAGTCCTAACAGTCTGGTCATTTTAGATTATAATTGTCTGAACTGTGTTATCATATTACATTTACCTTGTTCTGTATCAAGCTTTTCCAAAACTGAACAGAAGTTGCCCAATTGAAAACCTAGTAATTTCCGAGGGAGAAATAAATCTTTAAACATGTATCCTAAAATCAATGTTGTTATTTTTCTTAAATATAATCATTTAAGGTCCCTTGTGATAAAGGCAGTTCACCAAAACAGCAGGAAGTGACATCATTGAGCTATGAAACCAAAGATGGGATTGGAAAGAGGCAGATATTGACCTTACACATCAGTGCTGATTCATTGGGTTAAAATGCTCATGTTCAGCATTGCTCTGCGTTATGCACTGTAACATTATGTCACCAATGAATTAGGTTGCAAATGAACTTTTTCTAGAACTGCACTGAAATGACCCAAAGTTGCCCTAATAATTGAAATCCTGGTTACTCACAAGGGAGAAATATTGTGTAAACATGTGTCCTTAAATCAATGTTGTTATGTGGTTATTTCTTCTTAATAGAAACATTCAAACCGACGTCTTGTGATTGCAGGAAGTGACATCTTTTAGCTATTATACCAAAGATGGGATTTCAAATGGACGGATAATGACCTTACATTATACTGAACGGCAGAGAATTATTGAATGTGAGGAGCAGAAATGTGTAGAAAGTGTGTAAGCTGTAGGAGGCTGAGGAACCACTACACACTGCCCCCCTCTCCACCTCCACCCCCTCCTCCTCACCAAGCCTGACAAGATGGATGACATAATGGGGGCATCAGAGATAATCTGATGGTCATGGTCTAGTTAAACACACCATGTTATGATCCTTATAAAACAAACTACCTTTCCAAAAGGATAAATGTCCCTCCTCTCACTCCTCCGCTGGGGAAGGGGGGGAAAGAAAAAAAAATCCATTGCATCCTTCATCAACTGCAAGACTTGTACCGGCTTGACAGAAATTTAATTCGAGGCAGCTCTTGAAAATAATTATTGTATTTTGAGAGGAGTAATCATTGGCCGGGACATGATTGAATGTGTCCATGCCTATTGACTTTTGCGATGATTAATAGGTTTGTTTAGTCGATATTCCCATCGAAATTGTATAATTAATTATCCCCGGCGCTGTCAGGGCGGGACGATGGAGAGCCCTGATGAGTATTTGGGAAGATTACATTTTCCGGGCACTCCTGGCGTCAAGGGGCACCGCGGGGCCTTGCTCCGGTGGAGAGATGGGAGGAGCGTGTGTGTGTGTGTGTCTGTGTGTTTCGTGCTGTAGATCTGCACAGTTTTCTTCCCTCTCCTGGAGCACACACCCGCGGGGCCCTCCCCCTTCCTCCGTCCACATTGATTTTGTTTCAGTATCTCTTTATTGTAACTTTATCAGTGTGGTGTCGGCAGATGGGGGGCCGGCAGAGGGGGGTGCGTTTGTGTACTGGCTGTAGGAAGTGATGAACCTTTCTGTCTGGCCTGCCTCTCCTTGTCATGCGGGCGGCGTAGTCCTCTGCATTACTCAAAGGCCCCGAGACGTTTTCAACATGAGGGGACATAAAAGAATAAAGAACAAATGCCGCTCCGGCTTAAAGTTATATTTCATTTTTTACCCGTCAAACCTCTTAAGGGGGGATACAGAAGCCATGCTAAATTAAATCCGACCTTATAGGATTTATATAAACCCCCTTATGTGGTCCCTGTTGTCTTGTCCCTGTTTAGTTTTTTTTTTAAACTTTTTTAACGTTTTTATTCCAGTCTCATTGTACAAACATATTCACACTTTTGTCAATATTTTTTCATATGGTATTGAACTTGAGTTTTTGGAAGTCAAAATGATCCCCTTATCGTTGAAGTCACTGTCTGTTCTTCTGACATTTTTGCCATTTTTGCCATTTTTCCAATATCCTTCCACTGTACCCAGATCATTAACATGGGAAGGAGGGTTCAGAAGCACAGTAGTGTTGTTTAGTTTGGGTTGGTCCCTCTCAACACCAATCGGCCACCCCCACCTTACCAGTGACATTTTATCGCTTTTCCTCACAAAATAATAATGAACATCCCATAAAAAAAGGTAAAATATGGCCCCTCCAATGAAAGCCAAGTGCAAGGTGTAAAAATCAAATTAAATGACCTTTCACCCCAACATTTATTGATGGTTTTTAATGGCAGAAGGTGTTGTCACAGGGTATATTTGACAACGCGTAAATCAAAGCACAATTACAGGTGGTGGCACCGTGAGAGGGACAGTTGGGGGCCAAAGACCTCGTATTCCCTTTTTTTCTACTTCCTGCCTCCTAACTATCACTGCCACTCTGATTTAGGAGCACGCTGTTCGTCCAAGCAAAGACAGAAATGTGCACCCATGACAGGGTCGTTTTTACCCCGACACTTCTTCATCTTTTCCCTCTGTAATATTGCTGCAGCCGCATCACCACCAACTCCCAAGGTCATCTCTGGTTGACAAACTACTCCTGGCTTTATAATGTCATGAGGCCATGAAAAAATATAAGCTGGGTTTTTTTTCTAAACCACTGACCCGGCAGAGCAGCGGAGCATTATGCTTAATTGACACTGGGATGAAATGTGGTGTGAAATGTGTCGCTGCAGGGCTTTTCATTCACCTGAATGAATTTCTCAACATTCACTTAAGGTAGATACACACAACCATATGTTGCTCATCCCCTGCTTGAACTGTCACACACATATAAAATGAGGTGCTTAGCCTCAAACAAACACAATCAGGTGCGAACATGTGTAAAATAGTCAATTATTGATTTTGGCATGCGCCATTATTCAAGTATGAGTATGTATTGCTTAATATACTCTTATATATGGTGGCCAACAAGGGCAAGTGCGCTACAATGGCCCAAAACACTTTCAACGCGCTGCAGCTTCAAAAAGTGGTGCAAGCACAGATGTGCCAAAACACATGCAAATAAAACAACTCAGCAACTTCACAAAACATGCGCAACGTTTCGAAAATATTCCCCAACTTGACGAAACTACTAAATCAGAAGGAATCATGTGATCACATTTTTACAGTTACATTTAAAGTACGTTTCTAACAACAGTGATTGTTGGACAATTTTATAATCCCGAACGTGGGCATGTGTTTTGATGTTGGTGAAGATGTTTCTTGATTTGCGCGTTCTTTGGTTTTTATATTTACACATTTTTGAAAGCACATCGCGTGTGTTTCGGGACGTGGCAGTGCCTTTGCCCCTGTCGCCCACAGTACTTACACCAACTGAAAAGTAGGGGCATTTTCTCATAGACGATTATACAATTAGACTTATTTTTGCGACCAGTGGAGTTGCCCCCCTTTAGCCGGTATAAGAATGCAGTTTTAAGCCAATTGCACATTATATTAACAGATTTCAGTTTCTCAATGAATTATCCGATTTTTATTCTGTTCAACTCTCAATGATCTTTATTGCTTTTGGCCTCATAAATCCAACATCAGTCAGACTGTAACACACACACACACACACACACACACATGGCGGTGTCAGTGTGTGGATGGTGAGACGGGTGTACAGCGGAGCGTGGGGTTGCATCCCCTGCTCAGCCATCCCTCATCCACAGTGTGTGGGTCTCTCCTGTGACCCCGGCTCTGTGAGTTTGATGAATGCAGCACATCTGCCCTCCTGAACCTCTGAGACTCGTCTGGGAGGCCCCCCCCGCCTGCAAGTAATGGCCACTGTTCTACACCACTGGCACATAATCACACATACACACAAACACACCGAGCATCATCGCGATGGCACATACTTGATTTTTTTAAACACGTGTGTGCTCAACAGTACCTTGAAGACTGGCAACACACACACACGGTGATACATGCACAACATAAATATGTCATCCACGATGGAAGACTGTAGTTACCTTCTGCTGATATAATCATATCCCATGTCTGTGAGGACGTCCTTCCAAATATTACCCATGTGCTATGCGTCATCCCCGCTGGTATTTCATCATGTAGCCATCAACATATTGCTGCATGTAATACAGCGATGTAATGTCATTAACGTCATCTTCCTATAGAGCCGCTGTCAGACTCACACGGCCCGGGATGAGCTCTTCATCAGGACATAATTGTAGCCCGGTGTTTGAAACATGTACAATAGCCCAATTTACCACCAAATGAACATATCTCCACGTCTTCCTGTCTGAAAGGAAGGGGCGGGGCTAGCATGGGGTCCTCCGGGGTTGCTGGGAAACGTCGCTGTCAGTCTCTCAGGGAGGCAGTCATGCAGGTGCCCGAGCTACCTGTTCATCTCCCAGATAATTAATGTGTACAAGGAGTCGCTAATTGCACTTTTCACTAATGATTTATGGGTTTTGTGAAAGGGGGGAAATTGGGAGACGTGTGTGTGTACACTCTAGTGAGTGAGTACAGCTGGGTGAGGAGACATGATTGATGAAGAGTGTGTGGATGCACTGTCAGTGTGGAAAAATAGACCCCATTGGACAGGGCTAGTAGCACACACACACACACACACACACACACACACACACGAATGGTCAACTGCTTTCAATGTTCTCCAGCGTGGGGAACATTGAGATAACTAAATATAGCAAAAGATGGAATCTACTCTCCTGCACTCTCATTTGGCTTATTCTCGCCCACCCCTCACTAGGGTTCATGATAGATAAGTAGTGGCTTCTAGGTTAATATCAGATATCAAATAAAAATGTCCAAAAAAAGGCTGTTTTTTGTCCTCAATTTGTCTTGCCATGTGCCTGTTTTTTGGAATGAGTCTACTTCTTTTTCTTATTTTACAGAAGACAATTCTAGAGTTTGACCTATGACAGCTCATGGGAAAACTGTTACTACCAACCAACGTTTTGAGAGTGTGTTAAAAATGTATTTATGTTAAGCAGATCGGAGTTGAAAAAGAGCTCACTTCAAGCTCCATTGAATTTCCCTTGATCCAGAAATGTAGACAAACAAAATGTGAATAACAATTTCTCTCACTCATAATTCCTGTTCTTTTTATTTTTGTTTTTCCACAGCTTTTAGAGTATGACAAAGAGCTGTCGGTGTACAAGGATCGGCTGCATGAGCTGGAGATCTCCTTCCCACCCAGGTAGGAAGCCATTTTGCATCACTCCCACACATGCATTCACACCAACACCTACGTAACAACACTACTGTCTGATTTTCTGCTACTGAAATGACAGCAATGGTATTAGGTCCTGATGTCTTTTTAAAGCCGCTCTAGCAGCATGGCTTGGTCAACTACATTCATAATATTTGGTTATTTCTTTATGAGCAGTGTATTTACATTATGTTGAACATTACTGCCTCTCTTAAGCTCCGTTCACATGATACGCAATTTGGTCACTGCGAGGTTGGGCGCATTAAGGTCAAATTTGAAATCATTTCAACTTCCAGCGCAACGACAACAGCAAGTTTCCTTTTCGATTGGTTGCACGTTTCCATTTTGGATGTACAGCAGCACAATTTGCAAAAAGTCTAGGTGAAGCTGATTTCAGATCAGGGAGCTATTACTCTGCTTTAGAGGCACGTTTTCTTCTCCTTCCTGTTTACCAAACAATCAGATTGTTAGTAGAATTAAGTTGTGTTAGAAACAGATGCATGTCTGTTCTCACTGCAAACTCCAAAGGCACTAGCACAAGCAAACATTTAGTCATCCAACGTTGTATTCACAAAAGTGCAGGTATTAACGCATGTATACATATAAAACTAAAATAATCCAGGAGAGTTGTGCCGTTTCCTACAGAACCAGCCTTTATTAGAGCTGCACGACATAAACAGTATTTGAACTTCACAGGGTACAATCACATGTTGGTAAATGCAGTGATGTTGACCAGATCTTGGCCATGAAGAACTCATAATTAATATGTAAAATGAGAAGAAGTCAATCATCCCCTTATTGTCCAAAATGGTTTTATGAACACATTTGGATCTGTATTTGATGGCTATCAGTTGTTAAGTATGATTGGATATGGTCCCAAACTGCTCCCATGTGTGTGTTTTTTCATGTGTGTGTCGGCGTGCTTTGGGCTGCATTGATATTCCGTCTCAGTGGGACATGGGGGAGACTGGAGCGGGTGGTCTCCTCTCCTCTTCCTCAAACAAATGCATTTGCAATTAGCCTTTTCAGAGGAGAGGGAGGGCAAACACGCGGCCGGCGTGGAAATATGTTTCGGGAGCAGCGCGTTAATGGCGCTTGACCTTTGCCGTCGGTTGTGACTCAATCAGTGCAGATAATGAAACGCTGTAATCAAACAATAATTACTTGATAAACTGCTCTGGTGGCAGCACGGGGCGGCGGGGGATTTTAGTGTGTGTGTGTGAGGAGAGTGGGCTTGAGATACTATCAAAGCGTGTGTGTGAGTTTGAGATGGTGTGCATACATGTGTAAAACGCAGCTACAGACTGTGTGTGTGGAAGAGAGAGTGCATGTGTCAAGGTTCTGCCAGTCCCTGTTTTTTAAATGACTCTGTGTCTTAATCAGAGACCCCCATTTACATCACTTTGCATAAGTGACAGGTGGATTTATTGTCCTTTTACACTGGCTGACTTTTGCACCTATCCATATAATACTGAATCATCTCTCCACAGGGAGGGATGAACGGGCTGCTCTGGAAGAATACAAATGATTTCCACATACTTGAGGTGATGATGAATCAAATAGATGAAACCTGGGAGCAGCATATGAAATTTGATTTGATCTACTCTGTGCGCGCGACAAACCATATCATTGTCAGCCTTGTAATGGGTAGCAGTGGCCTAGTTAAACTTAAACAACCCCCTCCTCCCACTTCACACACACACACACACACCCCTCCCCCTGTCAGGTCTGCCTTGTGCTCCTTGAGCAATCAAGCCTCAACGATTGTTCTCCATCAAATAGCCCGCTCCGGACCGGCCCCTCGCCATCTGTGAGGTTATTACTCTTTTTAATGCAGGCCATCAGAACACACCCTCGCTGACACACTCATGCACGCACACGGCTCACTTTTGTTCAGATCTATAAATCAATACTAGTCACTAGCATTTAATCTGCGAGATAATTCTGTCTGTCTGCTGTCCACTGGTGGGTAGGAAGTTGTCACAAAATTAGACGTGTTGTCAACGTTGACCTAAGGACTGGATTGGACTGATTTACATACCAGAGATAGCCTCAATGCAGCAACTACTACATCTATGTATGTTATTACACCTGAAGCATCCCTGGCCAGCATTTCAGTTTCATCACATCTTTTACATTACGTTTAGCTGACACTTTAATCCAAAGTGACTTACATTAAGTGCATTCTACCATGAATATGCAACCGCAATAATTCTGCAGGTACATTAGCTCTCACTCAAACCAATATAAGTGATAGTACATCCGGTTTCAAATAAGCCAACCTTTCCAAGTGCTAAGTACAGAATTAAAAAATGTTTTTATATTTTTGGGCTGGATTAGCCTTTATTGGAAATTAACGGAGTTGAAATAGGGAGACAGAAGGGATGGCATTTGTAAATGATCCCAGGCTGGATTCAAACCTGGCGACCAGTACATGTACTATTTGCCATAGTAGTGTCCAAACGTGTTTTCAGTATGCAACAGAATACTGTCTAGTGTCTACTCTACTTCCACCCTTTTGGAACAATGACAGGTGTTTTTGTAGAGGGGTACGTGGTTCCAGTGAGGAAGGAAGGGAGTAGAGAGCCTATTGGCCGATGCAGAGCGAAGGGATTCTACAGGAGTATTTGGGTTTACCATCTCCTAAATGTTGGAAGGAATGTCCTGATCCTTTCACAGCAAGGTAGGCCAGTACCAGTGTCTTAAAGTAGATTCAGGCTGGTAGTCAGTGGAAGTAGGGACAAGTGTGGCAGTGTGGGAGGACTTAGGGAGGTTAAAGACCAGTCGCTAGGCCTGGACATCCAGTTTTGGTAGGTTTTATTGTACATTATGAAACATGCATTTTTCACCCTGCGTCACTGCAGAGGCTGTAAAATGCATATCTCTTTGCTTTCAAAAAGTCGTCTGTCAAAGTTGGCCGTGACAAGTCTTAAGTACTTGGGCACCAGGGTGAGGAATTTGCCCGGGCCTTGACACAGTTGGACCTGGAGCTAGTCGGCTGCTGCAGGCCGGCTCGTACACAGGAGCCCAGGTATGAGCACTCGACCAGGTTTCTGAGACGTAATAGATGAGCGAATGGTTAGAAACTAATCGTTTATTTAGTCACAGTTTCTCCTGTGTTTAATGCATGTGACTGCAACAATCTATTAGATCATTCTCCTAGCATAGGCTGCAGCATTGCCATTTGACTGAAAATAATGGTAGGTTTTATTATACATTATGGTACTTTTGATTTCATATTTGAAATGGCATAACTAAGGTAATATCCCCTAAAACATACCAAGCCACCAGTAACTTATTCATGTATTTGGATTGATGTAGGGGAAAGCTTTTAGTACTCCTCTGATCTGATTTCTTTACCCTTTTTTTGCACGAGATCGATGCAAAAATTGAATCTGGACCCCAGCTTCAGGAAGAAATTCAGTGGACAATGAGGGAGCAGTGGAAGAATGTATTTTGCCTGTAACATGGTTACTGGGAATGGGCTTTGAGGGGGATTTTGAGTGACATCAGACCAGCGGTACAACTCCATCAATGGATAAATCATGAGTGATTTCAGAGCAGGAAGATGGTGTGGAAGTTTTGCAATGTTGGTGGAAGGAAGGAACGATGGAGAAGTGTGGGAGAAGAAAGTATGCTTGCTGTCCCGTTTGTTTGTTTGTACAGTGGGAGAGAGGAGCCAAGGTATAGAGACATTCAGTACATAACATCTGGGTACCAGTGAGGTAGGACAGTCCTTTCATTCTTGCAGGACGATGTTTAGCAGGTATGTTTTCCATGACCATCGTTTTAGTTTAGCATATTAGCATGCTAGCAGATTTGAACTGAAAGTCATGGGTTCAGCAACATAGGATTCTTCCTCTGGGAAACACAACTATGAAATGTTATGATAATCCATCCAATGGTTGGAGATATTACAGTGTGGACCAATGCAATTGTCCAAATGGCATTGCTTTCCCTATAACAGTGCTTCTAGCTAAACTCAAATGTAAAAAGCCATAACTAAATGGAACAAAACCAGATTCATAGCTCCGGTAAATAATCTTGTGGCTACTTGGACATAAAGTATAATTTAAGATGGAAAAGAGCTGGTGACCTGTTCTCTTTTTTCAAAGGGTGATGCCGATAACCTGGGAATTTTCTAGCACAGGCAAATATCTCTAAAGCGTTTCCCCTTTATCCTACGCTGACCCAAAACCTCTCTGTAAGCACATATAGAGAGAGCAATGGGAAGGTGTTAGAGAAGCAGCCTGGCTCCAGTCCCATGTTTCCATGTTTGTCAAGTCTAGACGTGGAAAGAAACATAGAAGTAGAGTGTGGCCCAGGGGTCAGAGGTGAGGTCGGCGAGGAGGCAGAAACTGATAAACAGTTGTGTCTTCACTGTTTGGGAAGCACCCTGGGAATAACCTTGGCACCTTAGCATACATTTCCCAAAGCTGCTCTGAAGACAAGCCAAAATGGAGAAAGCTACAACATTCACAGGTTGACGAAAGAGGAAGGGGGAGGTTTGAAGGCTGATGCCAGGCACAATGACTTTGCCCTTCAGATGAGAGAGAAAATTCTGGTCAAGTGACACGAATGGCTCCCCGCCAGTTCCTCAATAACTGCTAATAAGTACATGTGGGAGAGTTTTCAGCGCAGTGGAGAATTCCTGCTGACTCGTTTGGAGCTCATAGGAAGTGCTCACACAGATGGCTCTCCTGTACACAGTCAGTGTCATTGTTCTGTGAACAACACTCTTCACACAACATCTCCAGCCCTGAAGGCCTGTCCGCATGATGTCACCCTCTCTGCATGTGTGTTTGTGTGTTTCCACTGAGCATACATTAGTCCTATAGCCCTACTGTTTGCATCCCAACAGGCTTCTTGTTCTCTGCTCTGCCATGCTGTACTGGATCGGAGGCGTGTGACTCCATCTAAAGAGCACCACAGACGCACTTTAGCAACAATGTTTGGTTAAAGCACTGCGTCCGAGACACTGTAAGTGT